ATGGAGAGAGAGGGAGTTACAGAGTACTGCTAGAGACTGGTTACTGAAAGAAAAAAAACTGTTTCAATTGGGTTCCTAAACTTCCAGACTTTTCTGGGGCAGACACCAATGGCTAGAGCCTACACTTCCTTTCCCCTGAGTATCTGATAACCGTCTCCTCTCACAACAGACCGGGGACTGCCTCAGTGCCAGTTCCCTGTATAACTGGCCAGGACTTCCGTTTCTTCCCTGAAAATATAGTCCTATTCCTTTCGGCCTGATTGAGGAGTTTCAGCCTGCAACCCAGTCACTCTTGGCCAGACTCTCAGATGTCTGTGTGAAAACATACTTCAGCTTTCGCTGACGCTAGACCCTGAATTCTTAAATGGGATTCTTTCTCAGGTTATGTTTTAACACAGCTAAGACCGGGAGTCTCTGCCTTTATTCAAAAGGTGAACCTGTCTGACAGACTTTTTAGTCAGACTCTTCACAGACGGCCACTCCTTTAGCTGAGCTTATATTTTACTGAACAGCAACTGCTGCTGAACTCAAAACGAACTAACCCTCCCCTCAGCACGCAGCCGGTCTTATATTTCCCTCAGCTGGTGCCGGCCAATCAGAGTAAAGAAGCATCCAACCACTCACGCTCAACATTCTAGAGCAGAGGGACGACATCGTTTCACGGAGTCAACTGTTCACTTTCCTCCTCTGATTTTACTGCATTAGGAAAACAGTGTTTTAAACGTAGTCCGTCACAGACGCCATCACGCAGAGACTCCAGGTGGCACTCTGGTATTTGGGCAAAAACTCTATGGTAGAAGCCAGTCTTACCATAGAGTATTTGCCCAAATACCAGAGCATCGCCCAGATGTTGCTGGCGTGATGACATCACTTCCTGTGCGACACCGACAACAAGGCCTACACCCTTCTCTTCTAATAAGTCCCCACCATCCCCTGCCGGTTGCCAGAAGGGACGCGGCAACCCCATTTGTGGATTAGGGTTGCCAGTAGGCTTAGATGAAGAAACAAATTGGTGCAAACAGAATCCTTAATAATTATACAACCCCTATGCGTTTCACGTGCAGCATCATTGGGGGGATGTAATGAAATAATCTTAAAAGAACATAATAGATACATAATTTTTTAAAAAAAATAATATACATAATTTTTTTAAAAAAATAATAAAACACAGGATGCAACAGTGGGAGCTGCATGCAAAACACTTAGCGGCTGTACAATTATTAAAGATTCTATTTCCCTCTACACCAATTGGTTTCTTCTTCTTCATTTTACCTTGGTACAGACCCCTTTTTCTTTATTTGCCAGGAGGCTCGCCAACCTCCAGGTGCCAATTTGGAGGTGACAACCCTAGTTCCCAACCCGTGGCTGGCAACTAGGGTTGCCAAGTGCTTACCTGTTCTTGGCCTCGCCCCCAACGTCCCCGACGTGCTTGTGTCACTTCCGTGTGATGTGCTTTGGGGGTGGGGTTCCCCCCGGGGGGCCGATCCGGCGGCGGCGGGGAACAGGCCTCACGGGTGGGGGTTTCCCCACCCCCCGGGGGGACTTGGCATCCCTATTGGCAGAAGCCTGGGGGAGATGACACATTGGGGTGATTTCAGCAGAAGAGCACTGTGTCACTTTCAAGGGGAAAGCCAGAAGTGACGTCATGCCACTCTTGGAACTGCTGTATACTCCGTGGTAAAAACACAGGAGTTCCTGGTGATTCCTAGAGTGGCATTATGTCAATTCTGGGTTTTCTCTGTCAGTGACATAATGCCATCATCCTGAAAGTGATTTATTTTTCTTCTTCTGCCTGCCGCAGGAGCAGCGGTGGGCCACAGGAGAATGGTAGGCTAGGGTGGCCAATCCCCAGCTGGGGGCGGGAGATTTCCCGGTTTTACAGGCTCCTGCCCTCTGGCGGCTAGCTGGCCAGTGGGAGGAAATCCCCCTTGATGGCAATATGGAGTGATGTGCCTACCTCACCTTGAGGTGACATAGGCATGGTGGTGATGTTGGGGGGCACTCTGGTTTTTGGGCAAAACTCTATGGTTTGATGGCAATTTTACCATAGAATTCTGCCTCAAAGCATTGCCCCCGACATGCCTACATCGGTTCTGGTGATGCTGGCACATGGGGGTGGTGGTGGTGCTTCTGGCTACCAGAGCATCCCCCCCACCCCCGCTGGCTTCTTGAAGGGACCTGGCAATCCTATAGTAGGCCTATTGGGCAACACAGAACCACAGAAGAAGGAAGAGGAGGAGCCTCAGAGCGGCTTACAATTTGGGAGCCCTGAGTTCAAATCTGTGTAGAAGAAGAAGATGAAGAAGAAGGAGGAGAAGGAGATTGAATTTATACCCCGCCCTTCACTACCTGAAGGAGTCTCAGAGCGGCTTACAAACTCCTTTCCCTTCCCCTCCCCACCACAGACACCCTGTGAGGCAGGTGGGGCTGAGACAGCTCTGAGAGAACTGCTCTTGAGAGAACAGCTCTGACAGAACTATGGCTTGCCCAAGGCCATCCAGCAGCTGCAAGTGAACGAGTGGGGAATCAAACCCGGTTCTCCCAGATTAGAGTCCGCACCCTTAACCACTACACCAAACTGGCTGGAAGAGACCCCAGGGGTCCTCTTGCCAAGTCCCAGACACAGTGCAAGAAATTCACAACGACCTCCCCCCAGCACTTCCCCACTGACCCTTGCTGTGTGCCCACAGGAAGGCAAAAAACCCTCCAGGATCCCTAAACCAATCTAGCCTGGAGGATAATTCCTTCCTATCCTCAAAGTGGCGACTGGCATCATTACTCTGGGGCCCAGGGCTCTTTTTGTAGAAAAAGCCCAGCAGGAACGTATTAGCATAATAGGCCACACCCAACCGCTAAACCCATTAGCACATTAGGCCACACCCCCATGTTACCAGAAGTGTGCTCATCCAGCCACACCCACCTTTCCCTTCTTATTCTGTTTACCTTGTTTGTTGTCCAACCAGGGCTTTTTTTGTAGCAGGAACTCCTTTGCATGTTAGGCCACAGCCCCCTAATGTAGCCAATCCTGATGAGTTTCTGCTGTTGGGTGTGGCCTGTTATGCTAATGAGTTCCTGCTGGGCGTGGCCAACTCAGGAGCCAGCCGGAACTCGGTTCCTGTGCGTTCCTGCCCAAAAATAGCCCCTGGGCTTATAAGAAAGGGTCACAACAGCTGAGCTAGCTCATCCCTTCACGTTATCCCTCTCACAACCTGCCTAAATTCACAGAATCGGCATTGATGTCAGGTGGCCATTGAGCCTCTGCTTAAAAATGCCCAAAGGAGAGCCCACCACCTCCCAAGGAAGCCTGTTCCACTGGGGAACCATTCTAAGTGTCGGGAAGTTCTTCCTAATGTTTAGCCAAAAACGTGTCTGATTTAATTTCAACCTATTGGTTCTGGTCCGGCCTTCTGGGGCAACATAGATGGATGTAGAATACATACTATTCTGTTATGTGTTCTATCTCAAGGGCATTACATTGTGAACATAGGAATGACGGAAACGGAGTCCATGAGCCATAAGCTCCACTGGAGATGACTGGCAGAGCGAGACCATCGACAGAGGACATAAATACAGAAAGATAGGTACATTTCAAATGTACCTATTCTTCTATAAGCTCGTGTTAAAAACACACACACAGACAGAGCAACAAAAGGTGGCTGAGGGCAGTACTGATTGGCTAGCAACCGTGCTGACACTAGGATACTTCCCAGCTCCCAAATCCTCTTAACAGATAGCACTGAAAAAAGTTGATGTTTTCCCTTAATTAATAAGATAACAAATACAGATACAGACTGATCTATGCAGTACTCCCTTTTAAAAACAAAAAGTAGACAGCTGTTCCGATTTTGCTGGTATGTACACAATGGGCTAGGAGGAAATCAGGCACACCAGGGCTGAGGGGAGCCCTGTGACCAATGCTCCTTCTAAGCTGTGGAGTCTTGTGAGTAAAAATTCTACTTTGTGAGCTACTGGCATTAAAGTTGTGAGCGAACGATTTGGCTACTGCATGAATTAGTTTGCTCTGGAGCCCTCCTTCCTGAGCGAAGACAAAAATCTGTGTGAGCCGGAGGCTAAAAAAACTGTGAGCTAGCTCACACTCACTCAGCTTAGAGGGAAGACTGCCTGTGACCTCTCTTGTTCATACTGTATCTTTCTCCAACCTAAATTCCTGGGAAGTGTCAGTGTTCCCTCTAAGCTGCGTTAGTGTGAGCTAGCTCACAGTTTTTTTAGCCTCCGTCTCACACAGATTTTTGTCTTCGCTCAGGAAGGAGGGCTCCAGAGCAAACTACTTTATGCAGCAGCCAAATCGCTCGCTCACCACTTCAATGCCTGTAAGTTCACAAAGTAAGAGTTTTCGCTCACAGGACTCCACAGCTTAGAGGGAGCGTTGCTCCAGATCTATCTCATGCATTTTGATCCCGCCCTACTGCGAAGGGTGAGGTATACGATTCTCCCTTTGCCATTTTAGCCCCACGTCAGCCCTGCGAGGTAGTAAGACAGGGAGGGAGAGAGACTAGCCTGCGGACACCCAGCGAGCTTCATAGCAGGTTTTATCTAACAGGCAGATCCAGGGCTATTTTGGGGCAGGAACACACAGGAACGGAGTTTCGTCTGGTTTCAGAGTTGGCCACGCCCACTACAGCCAAAACCTCTGTGTGGCTACAGAGGGAGAGCAGACCCACCGGTGACTCTTGAGGCAGATGGGCCAGGGGGCCCCTGGAAGGATCAGGGAGGCATTTAAATGCCTCCCTGTGCCTTCCCTGACCTGTCCAAGAGTCGGCTTGCCCGGGCTCCCCGCAGCCACAGGGCGCCTGGGCAAACCAAGGAGAGGCATGGGGTGTGGCCTAATATGCTAATGAGCTGCACTGTCAGGGGTGTGGCCTATTATGCTAATGAGTTCCTGTTGGGCTTTTTCTACAAAAAAGGCCCTGGGCAGATCCACTGCACCAGGTGGCCGCCCTCTGGAAATACAGGTAGGGATCCAGCTGCCGTCCCCTTACCATGGCAAAGCCCACATCGGCCTTCTTGAGCGCTGGCCCGTCGTTTGTCCCATCCCCGGTGACCGCCACCACCTGGCGCTGCTCTCCAGTAGTGCTGTCAATAATACCTAGAAGGACAAGAATTCAGGTTAGCCGATATGTTTTTTTAAAAACTGTGTTTACAGGTTAGTTGTAGATTTCCCGGGCAGTGTGGCGTTGTAGGACCTGACGTTTCGCCAGCAGCTGTGACTGGCACCCTCAGAGGTATAACACAGAAAGATGGAATACCCTCTGTGTCAAGGTGAGAAGAGTATCCTATTCCAAGACACCGAAAGGCTGGACAACACATCCAATTACCATGCCAGATTACACAGGGAAGCCATTGAAATTCGTAAACACAAACACAATTTCAACAGGAAAGAAGAGCGTTTACAAATAAACAGGGCATGGTTTCCTGTCCTGAAAAACACAGCATGCTCTACATCTTACAATATCACTACAGATAAGATTAGCCAATCCATATGCAAAAGAACCTCCTTAGGAAAGTTCCTCCATTAGCATGTCACAGCCTGGGGAACGCCTACAAGATAATGACTCGGCCAGGGCTCTTTTTGTAGAAAAAGCCCAGCAGGAACTCATTAGCATAATAGGCCACACCCAACAGCAGGAACTCATTAGCATATTGGTGGGCCACACCCCTGACAGCACAGCTCATTAGCACATTAGGCCGCACCCCCATGTTACCAGAAGTGTGGTTATCCAGCCACAGCTACCTTTTGCTTGTTATTCTGTTTACATTGTTTGTTGTCAAAACCCAGGGCCTTTTTTTGTAGCAGGAACTCCTTTGCATGTTAGGCCACACACCCCTAATGTAGCCAATCCTAATGAGTTTCTGCTGTTGGGTGTGGTCTATTATGCTAATGAGTTTCTGCTGGGCGTGGCCAATTCAGGAGCCAGCCGGAACTCCGTTCCTGTGCGCTCCTTCCCAAAAATAGCCCTGGACTCGGCCCTACCCCACCTTCCTGAGTAGATATAAATTACCTGCCTACCATTTTTCT